TCACGCCTGGCACTTCTCTCAAAACATCACAAAGCATGAGGTGTCCGACTAACTTTATGAATCACCCATTTAATAACCAACCCCAAACCAACCCCAGAAAGCAAACCAATACAAGGAAAATCCAAACAATCGATCAGAAATATAAAAATTCAATCCAGGTTCTGTAAGATCCAAGGCATGATTCTTAATAATCGTGTTTAATCTTCTGGAAATGGTTGGTAGAAAATGCAACACAAAACTTCATATAGTATCTAAGCTTATTTCTTCATTTTTTAAAAGTTGTTTTATCAATGCCTTTAGCACCTGTTAGAAACAGAGCACCATTTTGTACGAGTAAGACGGGGATTTTAGAGACGTAACAAAACCTGTACATGGACACTCCAGAAAAGTGCTGACTCGCTTGTGCGGCAGATACTGGAAGCAGAGCAAACAGCGGCCCATACAGAGAAAGGAAGTTGCTCCATAATTTCCACCATAAATTAAGCCTCATCCTGAGCACCAAGTAGTCAGGATTACAGCGACAGCATGGGAGCCATCTTGATTAATCGAGAGTGATGTCATAGACTGTAACGCGTTGGCTCAAATCTGCCATAAAGCAGCCTTTGTTAGAAATGGTTCACTCTTTTGCCAAACTCGCTCTAGTAGGTTTCTGTTATTACTGGTGCCAACAGAAAAGGTCAACTACTATCACCAGCTGCTTGCCATCAGATTCCGTGTGTGATTTACTGTAAGAGCTTGTCACGTTGAGAAACTGAGAAAGTCTTGAACTTGATCAATGTCCTTACTTAACAATTAGTACACATTCAAAGACCTCGAGATTCATAATAAAATAAAAAAAAATGAAATAAAATAACTTTACTCATAACCCACGGCAAAAACTCAGATAAATGATAAAGGTGCAGTAAATTTTAAATATCCCCAAATCTGATTTACCATTAGGCAGACTTATTAAAACCATAAAACAATAAGCAGGACTAAGAAGAAACACGTTGCTTATCAGACTTCACCCTGCATTTTCACAAATAAAGAGCTATTTAAAGAGGGAAGACACCTCGTCATCCTGCTTAGGGTGGTTTACTTCAATGTTACAGCTGAACGTGTTCAGGACAATAACAGGTGCACACCTGATGGCCCATTAGCTCAGTAGGAGTAACATCAGTGCATTTCACATTATTTAACCCATAAAAAGCTGTATAGAAGGTACACACTGATGGGCACACAAGCACTGACACAGACACAAATACTAAAAAAAGGCTCAAACGTTTCAATCTCCCATCTCATTGTGGGCTGTTCCTAACAGCCTCCTTCAGCCCTGGCTCCTATCAGCTGAAGTCTTTTGTTTTTTGGGTGGTACAGTACCAGATGGAAAGATGATGATTCAAAATGGGAAATGCCAGGAAACGTGGCTTTCAGCGAGATTATGAGAGTGGTGGATCCAAGGTGCATGATAATAGACAAGCTCACCTGCTGGCACAATATTAAATGTGAAAACCTTCACTGCAACGGAAACAGTGCGGGTATCAAGCTGGACAAACGTTTTCATACTTGGCTTACAGAACATGAAATGCCAAAAGCTAAGTTAAGGTTGTGAAAGACTTTCTGAATTACAGCAAGTGTTACCCAGACACAACTGGCGTGTGGATCAGCTGGTTAGGCTTCTGTGACTGGGATCAGGAGGTCACTACTTCAAATCCAGTGGTCAGCAGGGTACTGCATCACTGCTGAATCCTTGAGAAAAGCCCTTAACCTTGAAAAAAAAGCCTCAGGGATACCAGATGAAATGGCTGAACCAGTGCTTTCATCTCAAATAGAGCTCTGGAAAAAATGAAGAGACCACTCTATTTTTAAAAAATTAAAAATTTTTAAATCCTGGTTTAACCCTGGTTCTGCTGGCAGAAGGCTACACTGCGAGGCAGGCTGCTTCCAGACTCAAAGTTTCTAAGACAGCAGTACACAAGAATAATGTAAAACAGGAGACATAGGCAATGACCAAAAACCAGCCAGGTAGCAACTTTCTAATGCCAGAGATAATCGTCAGCTTATCCGGCAGTGCCTCATAAATTGGATGATGACTTCAAGTGACCTTCAAAAGGAATGGGAAACATTAAGTGTTGCGAAGTGCACTGTTATGACAATTCATAACAGGCTCCTAGAAGCAGGACTGAAGACCCATAAAGCAAAGAAGCAGCCCATCATCAACAAGAAGCGGGGAAAAGCCAGGCTGGAGTTTGCAAAAATAATTACATTTTACACAGGTGCCTTCCCATAAACTGAGAAATAAGTGAAACTGAAAAACTTGCTTTGGTCTCTTACTTTTTCCCCAGAGCTGTATTCATGTGTAAGTCTGAAAGAGCAAGATGGGACACGCGGAAATTACAGAATTCCTATGTGTTTGTACTTGGACAAATGGCAAATGTAGGATCATTTCACAGTCGTAACTGTAAAACCCGGTTTCATAGGTTCTGGAAGGTTTATGAGTGTATGAGAGATAAGTAAATAAGTAAAAAATATTTTAAAAATATATAAAATTATTAAAATCTTTTGCATCTGGGACTATGAGTACATTTCCACGGTTCAGAGCTGAACAGAGATGCCCCAGGAGGACAAAAATACAAGAGCTAAGCTTCACATCAACCCGACATCTCCACATGAATACTTCATTCTCAAGGTCAAGTACATTTCTCCTGTTCAGAAGGTTCAAATCCTTTTTTCTTCAGTGAAGGAATGCTTCACTTAAAGGCACACAAAAAGGGGAAATCGTCTGAAAAGCTTGCTGCCCCTTAAAAAGACAGACACAGATACAACAAAGTGAGAAAAACAACACCATGTTGGGTCAACACATCTTTCAGGGCATCTCAGAGACTGCACAGGTCCCAGTAAAGAATTTTGCTTGCTGTTATTGCCATGCAACTCTCATCTTCTGAAGGTTAAAGTTCACCTTATGCAAGTCCTGAGTTTTGGAAAAAGGCAGAAAATTTGCTTAAAATTGTTTAAGTGCACATTTGGCCTTGGAATCCGGCTAAAGAAGAATTTCCTCTTGTCCGCATGCATGTTTTACTGCTCGATTCCTACTGCAAAACTTCCATAGTGACAGTGGGAGGACAGAAAACAGCGGCCAACGTGAAGTTTAGCTGGACTGGCCAGGTAATGAGCAAAGCTTTCAGCTTAGCATGGCCAGCCAGGTGATAAGCATTATCAATTTAGCATCGCTGGCCAGCTTGTGAACATTAGCACTCGTTTTAGAATGGCTGGTAAGGTCGTGAGCATTAGCATTCTGTCAAGCATGACTGGCCAGCTTGCGAGTGTTAGCTTTCAGATTAGCATGCTTGAAATTGTTAGCGTTTAGCTTAGCATAGCCAACTGGCTTGTGTACATTAGCATTCTGCTTAGCTTGGTCAGCCAGCTTGCAGGAGCTAATCACTAAAAGGATTGGCATGTGTAGGCCTGCTGTTGCTCCTGGGATGGGCAAAGTGGGAAAAATGGTGGTTCACACTGCATGGCTAACTAGTGTGTGCTGGCCTATGTCACACTCATTCTAGAACCGCTTTAGAGTCCCTCATTTACAGACTAAGGATATTTTGAGACCTATAAGACCTTTGACCTTACAGGCTACTAAAAGGAGAAAAAACACGATGTGTAACCCCCCCCCATGCTACCTCTGCTGAAATGCAACAAAAAATAATAATATTACTATGCAATCAGCCTGTATCAAAAGCTTCTCTAAACTATGACTAATTCGGACTGTTACCACCGAAAGGGAGGGGAATAAACTTGAACTCCCAGTCTAAGACGTGTAAGTGGAATGCTCATACACAGACAGAGTTGGCAGGCCCTAGGATTACGCGGGGGTACGCGGGAGGGTGGGGGGCTGATACCAACACACACTGCGAAGATCAATGAAACCATTCACAACTTCACTGCTGCTTGTGCATAAATATACTCAAATATGTCAGCACATGTGCGTGCATGCCCATCGCACCATGCAGGACACACACTTCCTGCGTGCAGTCACTCAGGTACAGCTCGTAACAGTCACATCACATATGTCTGGCACACATGAGCACTGTGGAACAGAGTGACATCTCTAAAAAGGCAAACCGCCTCATTTATGGCTGGAGGGAATGCAGAATCACATACAAATGTCCTGTTTGTCAGGTCATTGTTTTATGATAAATAAATCAGAAATTAAATTTAAATACAATATTTCTTATGCTTAATAATCGGCGGGTTATTTGGGTAAGTGTAGGCAGGTATGTTCAGGTTTATAGTTTAGACTGGCAGGTCGCCGTGGCTGCTGATGAAGGGGTCGCTACTTGAAGGCTGACAGAGGATGATGAGGGGGACGGTGGCTCAGGCTTCTCAAATTCAGGCGGATGGCAGAACTCCTTGATGGTGACAGTGAGCAGGTTTGTGGTTACGTCCGTCACAACCACGTTGGCGCGAGGGGCCATTTCAGGGTGCCAGTCAGGGTTGCCTTCCGACAATGTCCTTGTCTGCTCAGGGGACAGAAGCGGTGGCCCAATGCCCAAGTTCTTTGGGGTCAGAGGGATGGAGATGGCAGAGGCTGACTTGCCTTGAAGTCGACGCATGTGTTGACGACGCCGGGCATTCCTCTTGTCTTCATGGGGCACAGACAGATCCAGGACCTCTTCATCCTCTGAAGTCGAGGTAGAGGATGAGGAGGACAACGAGGAGAGAAAGATGGATGAAGGAGATGGGAGAAAAGATGGAGGGTTGTGGGGCGCTTCTTGCTTTGACTCCAGGGGCTTGGGGCTGAGGTTGGGTGGGGACGGCGAGGCGGCAGAGGCCGGTTCAGGGATGGCTTGTAGAGGGGTTGGCTGAATGTGAGGCGGGGAGTTGGGACCACTGTCAGAGCCACTGGAGGTCGACGATGAGGGGGAGGGCTGATAGCGGGGCAAAGTCTGAGGCTCCGGCATTACAGAATCTGGATTTAACAGGGCAGAGCCGGGAAGGGGAGGAGCACCTTCCCCAGCACCTTTCCCTTCTGTGTTTTCACTACTACCAGTACTGCTTTGAGACTGACTAATGGGTTGCTGGATACCAAAAGGCTTTGCGTACATGGGGAACCCTGTTACTTTCAGTGGGGGCTGTAGACCTCTATAAGGCACTTCGGTAAACCTCTTGCTCTTCCCTATAATGCGGTTCCGGGAGGGAATTTTGGGCCGTCCTGGTTGGGAGTGGTGCATCCCTTGCTGGTGGGCCATCGAAGGCGCTCTCCTGCCTCCACCTGCCTTGTCAATCACCTTCAGGTTCAGGATGATCCGGCCCCGCTTGGCTTCACGAGGCTTTACCTTGCGGTTCAGGATACGAACGGTCTCCGAGAACGGGGAGACAGGCGGGCGGGAGGGAAAGGCCGAGCTGGAGGAGGAGGAGCCTGAAGGCGGGGCCAGAGGGTCGGGGCGAGGCAGGGGACGCCGAGACATGCGATGGCAGCGACGAATATCTTTCTTCAGTTTGTGGTGGGCAGCACCTGACTGGAGTTTGACGGTGGGGGCTGAGGAGGAGGACGAGGAGGATGAAGAAGGGTAAGGGGAGTGCAAGGAGGATGCGGGGGAGGCAGAAGATGAAGAAGGCCTGGAGGTGGAGGAGGCTGAAGAGTGGTACTGCTGGATGTCAGGGACTTGTGTCGAAGTCTCAGCTGCCTGGGCTCTTGCCTGAGATATGGAAAAAAAACATGGGGGTTACAGATTTTGGTTGGACAGGTATGGGGGTGGAAACAGAAACATGAAATCAGAAGACAGCAATGGTGCTGAGAATTGGAACAGAGGTGGAGACACACACACACGGAAATGGGTAGGAGTCGTCTTCCACAAGTACAGAGCAAATCAAGTATTGGAGGCAGGAGAGAACAGATTCAAAGATTACAACTAAGGTCAGATCTGGCAACATGGTAAGCTTGACTTTTAGCTAAGATCATGAGAATAGGTACAGGCATCATTATAGAGCATGACTCATAGCATCTCCCTGTTTTATGGCAACATATTAAAATGGTGTTCAGCTACATGAAAATGTGTGAGGACCTCCAAGAAGACTGACATTTATTTAACGCTCTGGGGTCTAGGGGTAGGGAACACACTTTCACTGACTGGGGCATGGTCACACATTTCATTCAATATCATAAACTTAATTCATGGCAAATAAATTATTTCTTATATATTTGTTTTGGCATTACACTCATCTTAATCTTAGTGTACTTTGTAAATATATCAGATTTATGTGAAATTTGTAATTTGACATCAAAGTATAGACTTTGCAAAATGCAGTTTGGAACATTTGCAGAAACATTATAAAAGTACATAGTAAGCAATGCTGGCAGTTTATATTGATCCCAGATATCTGATCACCAAAGTCTTTGCTACATGAAGTTGACTAAATGGTGTATTTGCAACATTCAGTTGGATAAATAAATAAGAAAAACCGAACTCATGCCACTACTTTTGGCCCCTTTCATTGAATATGTAGCAACTTTCATGTGTATGAATGAGCCATTGACACCTGGCCACATATCCCCCACCCCCCCTTTTATGGCGCTGATGGGGATGTATCTGGATCGCATTTCACTGTTGCATTGTTCATCAAATAACCATGCAAATGCGATTTGAATACGCGCAAATGCACCTATTTAGAATGTGAATAGCGATCTTCGGGTGAGAGCGGTACTACACGCCCCCGATGCAGGTAAAACAAAGTAAGGTGACATGGTTTACTTTTGCGTCGATTTAACCTAATTTTAAAAACTTTAATACTTCCGACAATGGACGTTTTGAAAAGAAGACTACGAAGATTACGGATTTAGTCAGTGTTTCTTTCATGTTTCTATAATAAGATTTCAGCGAGTTATGAACTGAACAGACACTTCTGCAAAGAGTGATGTGCAAGTGGGAATTAGACAAGTGTCCCTGAAACAACTGGGGGAATCGACAGTGAAATCACTCTGCCAACCCTGGTATTCGAACCAGTGACATTCTGATCACAGGCACTGTCCTAATCCACAGAACCACACAACACCCAAACCAGGTCGTCAGAAAAAGAACTGCTTCTCTTGAAGATTTGGTGTTCACCCAAAGAGAAGCTGTGACTTTCCCCAAGAACGCAACAAGACAAACATCTTGGTTATTATATGCACACTTGTTTGACATTTTGGAGTGCCTTTGATTTGTGCTGTCTAATTATGTTACATGTTACAAGTAAGATTTATTATGTACTGATGTAAAAATAACTAATAAGGAATCTTGAATCTTTATGGCAGGGTTCCTAAATTCCAGTCATGGAGGGCCAGAATCCAACACAGTGTGCACAGCGCTCAGACACATCTTAATCAGCTAACTACCAGGGTATGTAGGTGTGTCTGAGCAGGGAAGTCTGCAAACTTGCAAGTCTTGCAAAGCATCAGAACTGGGGAACCCTGCTTAATGAAGAACAAAACCAAGAGTTCTTCAGAATCATACCTTGAGAAGGAAGGTTTTAGGTTTGGGTCCCCTTTTCTTTGGCCCATAAAGTTCCCTCTCTCTCTCTCTGGAATAAAGAAGAGAATGTAAATTGAATTAAGAGTTATGTACATTTCGCTGTGGTGGAGAAAACAAACATTTATCATTCCTGCAGTAATCAGACATGCCGTGCAGAGCTGAAAAATGCACTTTGGCTCTGACAGCACATGACCTTTTTATCTCTGAGCGTACAGCATCCGCTGATTCATAAAGAAAAATGATTTGTTCATCCTGAAAAGCCGCAAGACAGCACCAGAAGTTAATATCCCCATCTTAGACAAAAAACACAGCAAAAGATCAATCAGATCTCATCCACTCAAACACAGTTTGTAAAACTGGTTAATTCCAATTTTTGGAATTACTTTGCAGAAATCTAGCCATCATGAGTTGTGCATGATTGGATTGTTTTGGGATGCCAGTGAACACAATGTCTGTCAGCCTAAATAGTCCCTGTGAAAGCTTTTAACACCCACAGACACACTGCTCAGAGAAAATGGCACTGTGGTGCAGTTTCAGCGCGGTCTGTTCAACTCAAGATACTGAGCTGAGTCAACACACTGTCCCCAGCACAGTACCAGCCCCGTGGAAAATCCCTGCTCAGCTAATCTGACACTTACAGACATGAAGAGCTTTAGCTGTAGACAGACACATATACTTCTGTACATTCCCCTGCTACTGTTGCTTTCCCCATAATCCAGCACTTACCCACCAGAGGCAGCTCTAACTAGGCTTAAGACAACAACCATTAATGCTAAACCTTAAACTAGGAAGCTAAGGAAAAGCACAACTATTTAACATGAAGAACACCTTTATTTAAACAGTTATATATCTGCCAGTGACTTAAAACATGCGGAGTGGGGAGTGACCCATATGGTGGACTAAATCAAAGTTATTGGGCATAAACAGGGCTTGATAGCACCAGTTGCAGTTTCATAAATGGCCCATGCAATTAAATTCCCAAACAAAATGTTGGTAAAAGTATGTCATGCAGCACTACATCTAGACATAAACCTTAAGATCCGTGCAAGATTTACTCAGGTACATACAAACTGCTTTGAACACGAATTTTACTTGGAAAATGCAGTACGTTGTTGAAATTACTTACTTCTGTTCAAAAGCCGAAATAAGGCGTCCGTCCAAAATATTCTCTTCTGGCTCCCATGTACTATATCTACAAAAATGCATTTGAGGAAAAAAAACAAGTCACGTTCAACTCCAAATTCACTCGAACAACATGAGATACTTAAATGTAACTGATACTAAAGACAGACGTGATCCGAGTTTATTGCTGCAAATTACAAAGAAACCAGTCATACTGTCCCATTATCAAAAGCCATGTATAAAAAAATATATAAAACACGTAAAAAAACGTGAGATCGGAGACAAAAACACAAGGTGGGCGTGAGACAATAGACACCGCACTTACTTGATCGCCCATCCTTTCCACTTAACCAGATACTCAATACGACCCTGCAAAACAAATACAATTAAAACATACACAGCTCGATTTACAGGAAATAGCTTATTTGTTTAGACCCTCGCGGTCGCAGCGATTAAATGTGTTTATAAAGAAGGGGACTAACGACTTAAAAAGAAACAGCCAGACACCAGTGAATGAGTCGCGGAGCCGTGCACGTTTGGCCGAGCAGAGAGGCTCCTTTTCCAGCGTTAAGTCGGGGGCCGAGGCGGGGTGTCGCAGGACTCAACGGGCTGCTGGTTAGCCGTTAACCAAGGGGCTGAAACACCTACCCCTTGTCAGGCAACATTCAGACCCTCTTTTGTTAAGATTTATTAGTGAAAATAAATCGGCTTGGCGGCCTGAATAACGGGGCGCTTTACTGCCCGTTTTCTGTCTGTCCACCACAACCGGGCAGCCTGTTCGGACCTCCGTCGTATCGTATCGTCACCACCGGTGAAACGACAGTGAGCCCAGTTAAAAGGCACCGAGCTAGGCCATCGGCCAGCCAGACTGCTAGCCGGCCGGCTAACGCTGACGCGGATGCGTGAAAACCGCTCCGAAAGTCTCGGCTGTAAGCAGACTATCCTCCGGGCGGCTCACCTTCCGGACGCGGCGTTTGATGATGGACTCCGCCGCGAACACTCGGTCCCCGACCGCGGAGAGCTCCATCTTCCACTGCAAAAGAGGCGGATATACGAGCGACAACGGCGCCCAGCGAAGCCCCCCTCCCACGGCTCGTGCGGCTGCAGCGGCTTGTGAGGCAGCGCTAGCTGTCACGTGAGACAAGCTGAGCGAGAGGGAGGAAGGCTCCTGACACGGGCACCCCGAGGGAAGGGTGGGGACAACTAGGTCACGCGGGTTTGCACCAGCCCTCTGTGACAGGCAGCAAGCGTGGAGGGAAATGCATGATCACGTCGGTGACATGTCCCTAAGGGGATGTTCGAACCCGCACTTGGGGCTCGTGACACCTGGGTGTATAAAGTTTCCCGACCAGCTACATCAAGGACAGTCTGTTCTTCATAAAATTTTCATTAAATTCATTAGTTTTAAATAAATATTGGCGTATTCGTTCGTTTGACACTGTACATTACCACCTGTCACTTTACTGCTAATTTCATTGGCCTTTTTTTGTGTTTATTAATTATTATGTTCAACAGGGTGGCATATTTATAAAAGCACTTTATTGCATGTACAGTAATACTGTACAAGGATGGGACTAAAGAATGCAACTAATTGTTGTCGTCTAATAGTTTTAGTCAAGGATATAGCCATGTAGTAACATCTCCCTTTTAGTATCTGTAAGATACTGTAGGAATGTTCCTTAGGAAACGTACACAAACTGTCTATCGTGAATCACAGTGAAGCAGTAGAAGTCGGCATGAGCAGCAGAAACATATGCTTTTAAATGTCTAGTCACCATGGACGTAAATTATGGGGGGGTCTCTGTACCCCCCCCCAATAAATCAAAAGCAGCTAATATAAAATAATCATGTTTCCCCCGTAATGGGTGGAGACCTCAACCCCCCCTCCCCCAATGTTCCAGCCAAAGTTACGCCCTTGCTAGTCATCCACGTCGGTCCGTTCAAATGCGTTCAACATATATAGCAAGGTTGCCAAATCTCACGCATCTGGTATTACACTCACACTTTCAGACTTGTCTTATATTGAAAATCTCACACCAGCCAGCTGAGCAAAGTTGGAAACCCTGTTAAACATATAATGTTACATATACTATATGGACAAAAGTATTGTGACACATGGCCATTACACCTACAGGAACTTTTATGACATCCATTCTAAATCCATAGACGTCAATATGGAGTTGGTCCCCCCTTTGCAGCTATAACAGCTGCCACTCTTCTGGGAAGGCTTTCCACAAAATTTTGCAGTGTGTCTGTAGGAATTTTTGTCCATCCATCCAGAAGAGCATTTGTGAGGTCAGGCCCTGATTTTGGATGTGAAGGCCTGGCTCACAGTCTCTGTACCAATTCGTCCCAAAGGTGTTAGATGGGCTTGAGGTCAGGGCTCTGTGCAGGCCAGTCTAGTTCTTCCACACCAAACTCACCCAACCATGTCTTTATGGATCTTGCTTTGGGCATGGGGCACAGCCATGGTAGAGCATAAAAGGACCTTCCCTAAACTGTTCCCGCAAGATTGGGGGCTTGATGCAGCTGCTCAGCCATGGAAGCCCATCCCATGAAGCTCCCAATGCAGAGTTTTTGAATTGGGGTTAATGCAAGAGGAAGTCACTGCAGTTATTGAGTCAACAGAGCGTTGGTAACTTTTACACAGTATGCACCTCAGCCATTGGTGACCCTGCTCTGTTACTTTACGTGATCTGCCACTATGTGCCCGAGTTTCTGTTCCGAAATGCTTCCACTTTGCAATAATACCACTTACATTTGACCGTGGAATATCTAGCAGGGAAGAAATTTCATGAACTGACTTATTGGAAAGGTGACATCCTGTGACAGCAACAGGCTTGAATTCACTGAGCTCTTCTGAATTGCCCATTCTTTCATAAATGTTTTGTAAACCCGACTGCATGGCAAGGGTTGATTTTATACAATTCTGGCCATGGGACTGAATGAAACACCTGAATTCAACGATTAAGAGGTGTGTCCCAATATTTTTGTCCGCATAGTGTGTATTGCTTTTCAAAGGAATCTCTTCTGTGTCATTAGTGTTGTATGAAATGGCATTTCTGAGCTCAGATAGGCCTATATGTCGCTAAATGCTATACTAATAATAGCTAAATGTGTGGCTTAAAAATAATGCTATGATCATGCATGAAAACCAAATAGGGACTGTAACTGTCAGTCTTTGCACATCTTCCACTGAATGAAATAGGCTGAAAAATCTGAACTTGAAGAAACCACTGAAAACACTCTATGTTACTTTGTTGATGGATCACAAAACTCATGGTTCTAATCTCATCACAGTTTTTGAGTCATGGATTGGATCATTATTGGATCAGCAAAAATAAAGGGGGGAGACAAATATACCTTTGCTTTCCATGTATTACTTAAAGAACTTAACAATTAAAGTAAAGTTGTTATCTCAGGAAAACAAAAGTTATACAGACAAACGTTAGACATGCAAACAACATTTGTCGAGTGAATGAAGGAAGCAGATTCCACTAAAAATGCTATGGCTACTGCTATTGAATCTGCGCAGATTTGTATTGCATTCCCATTGAAAATCAACCCCCATCCCCCCCTTGTAAGAAATTAATTTCAAGCCCTGAATGCATGTCCTTTACACTGCATTTCATACTATTATGGTAAAACTTTGCAATTAATCTGTAGTTCACATGCAAGCTGAACTGTGGAGTGTGGGGAGGTATCCATATGGATCACGGATCACCTAGGGTACAATGACTTCTAAATATGTCACTGTAGGTAATCCGAGGCCACTCTTTCACTCTTTTCACCCTCCTATCTATCGACCATAGAAGGCAGAGGTATGACAAAATTGTCGTGTTTCAGGGTGACAGGCTCTGTTCCCACATATTGATTTGTTATTTTGCTATTGCTGTTGCACAAAAATGCCAACTTTGGTTCAGTGATACAACAAAGCGGAAGTTGTGCTCATAATTCAAACAAGACATCATGGGAAGTAGGAAAAAAGTGGATAACAGAGTCATTAGCACCAAGCCTTATCTATACTCCGGTTTTCATATTTTACAACCATTTATTGATAACACTAAACCAAATGAATTCTGTTTTATGCATTCAAAACAATACAATGTCAATAGAGTTCAATCAACGTATGCTTACGTCGATCACGTGTTTGTTCATTGTGGTGAAAGTGGGGTCAGGGGCCTGTATCACAGACTTAAACCTGGGTACCTTAAGTCTGACAAGCTATCCAGCTAAGGATGTGCCCATCAATACTGAAATACTGATAGTGAATGTTTCATTTTGTGAATCGAATATAATGTTAAAAAATATCTATTTTTTAACCTGGTAATTTTAATGTTTATATTTATTGTAGGAGGCAGTGACATATGAACTACTCCCAGGCAGGGCCACACACACTGAAAAAATATTTGTTGGCAGAACTGTTATTCACAAAACTCAGTAGTTTTTACTGATAGATTAAGCTGTTTTGCTTTAATTAAAATGTAAGAATATTAAAATTATTATTACCACTTAACGAAGGGGAATGCATAGGGTTACCGAACAATTGTGAGTAAGCTCAATTGTCATTAAAAACTGTGTAAACCCAAAACAACGTTTTAAGTGGTCATGTGAGGGAAACCACGTATGTGTGTGGTCTCAATGACAACTGGGACACTTCGGTTGCAGCAAGAGTTTGAACAGAGCCGACAAAACTGTGATAAGACTTTCCAATGTATGTTAATTTTAGCATTGTTTTGCATCTGTGTCATATCAAGATATGACGTTAACTGAGGTTAGGATCAAATTTAGGTTAGTTCTGCATAATGGTGGAAAAAAAAAATCAAAATATGACAATGTGATTGATTTTTTTTATGATTATTTCGATAATTGTAAAGCAAACATGAGTTAAATATAGATGCAAAACCAAATAGAATTTATTACCTACCAACAGAGTCTGCCAAATAAGTTGGCGGCGTTTCCGCGAGTTGTACCGACAAGACGGCGCAGGTGTGTCCCCGGTTGCCGTCCTAGCTGCCTATATTCCCACAAGACTGTTTGTTTAATTTGTTTTAAGTGTGGTTTTCTTTGCTTTACTTACACACAATGCACTGGGTTTTACTACCTATAAATGAAGGACACTGACAAATATTGGATCGTTGAACTTAACGACCGAGTTCCATTCCTACTAGATCATTAAGCGAATTTGTCGATAAGCGAGGAGCTGCCCCTTACTGATATTTCAAGCATACTGTAGGCTACTAATAGTGGGTTTGTGTCAATCATCTTTAAATAAATGTTTCAATGTCACCTTTGCACCATTTACAACACTGTATACTGTGTACTGTATACCGTAATAAACAGTGTACTGTTCCTACTACGTGTTTTCTCTGTATGTGACAGGTGAAAATCTGAGTGAAACTGTAAGAAACAGAACACAGAAAAGACAAAGTAGATCTCTTATCTAGCATAGCAAAGTTACACCAAGCTGATCGATAAGAGCTAATGTTAATCATTAACGGAATTACAAATGTTACGCTAACATATATTGCAAATTAGCATCACCGCAATCCAGTGACTCACTGTTCGCGTCCTTTTGCACATTATCGAACTAAAACAGCACATAGAAAATAAATAAGTCAGTCATGAATAAGTCACTCACAGCCATTGCTTTCAAAATAGATAAGACACAGGAAAACTTTAAACTTGTGCACATCCGTACTTTACTACTACTGGAGGTTCCCTATCCCACAATACAAAGCACATGCATCAAAATAAAGGCAACGTGCTGAAATAAAAGTCAGTGTATAATGATATGTCATATCAAAATAAAAGTAAATTACTGCAAACAATATACAACCTTCCTTCACCGACCCAAATAAATCAGAGAGCAGAACAAACATAATACAATAGAAATGCTGCACTGCCGTTTCCATGACCAAAGTTCTCATACAGCATACAATGCAGACTGGTTGGAGAGCTGGTTGTATGTTCGGGCGGTCGGTAAACAGGTAAGTCGTTAAGTGAGGAATGTCTGTATAAGGTTTTCCAACAAAATAATTCCTCCGGAACAGCCTCAACAAGAATGGCAACAATAACAAGAGATGTCTGTGAAATGATCAGAGAAATGATCAGGGACTCAGATTTAATGGCGACGACGCCCATGCCCCCAACAGTAGGCCTACTACTTCGGTACTTAATGTACCGCCTTGCAAAGCTGGAATGTAAATACCAACCTTATTTATCTATTAC